CATTTAGTGTAAATGACGGTTAACTTTGATCGGTTATAACTACGCAACTAATTGATCAGTCGATCTGTTTTTTTTTAAAGAAGCGTCTTTCCAAGAACTTTTAAAACCTGCTTTAAAAAATTTGATTTGATTAAATATTCACAATGTTATTCTAATTGTTTATAAGTACAAAAATTGGACCAATGTTTAAACAAGCGCCAGAGCTCTCCTAATTGACGGATTCGAATTTTTCAGAAAAAGTTTGAAAGCTTGAGAGCCCTTCTATATGTGATTAAATTTTCCAGTATCTAAGGGCTTTGGTTTTTGCTGTGCAAAATTTTGAAAATATGCAAATTTTTTTTCAAAATCTGGATTGCAAAATTATTATGTAAAATCTATCAAACCAATTTTGATGAAATTTGGTGTGAAGATTCTACATAACATGAAGCTTTTTTGAGCCAAGTGTAAAGGTCCTATACCCAATTTAAATACCCCAAAAAAATTCCCTAAAAAGTATTGTTTTTTAACCCCATTTTTGCGATTTTTTCGATTTTTACCACAATAATCATGATTCATTCGATTTGTAATCACGTTTTGTAAAAAATTGAATTACAAACATCTTTTTCCTCTTCCATTTTCGCCTAAAATCAACTCTTGAAAAGGTACATAATGAAATATGAAGAAAAATATGACATTTTTCGATTTTTTTTAACATATTGCGCCGCCAAAAGTTAAGCCCACGTTTTTTTTATGCGCATAGAAAAATTTTCATTTCTAGTGATATTTGAAAGCCAAAAAGCCAAAAATCTCCGTGGATATACGATTCACCCAAACCAAAACAGATACCGCCTAGTCTACTAGTAATTTTAAAAAGAGGAAACAATAACTAGAGAGGCAACATTGTAAATAATTAAATTAAATAATATCAAAAACAAACTGTCAATAATAACATTGATGCTATCAAAAATTTCTCGTGTGTATCAGATCAATGACGCCCATTTGCGTTAATCTCTAAATCATGCTCCTTCATTACAATGTGTAAAATGTTTTTTTATCAATTTTCTTATATATTTATAAAAAAAACTATTTTTGTTTATTATTTGTAACATTTTTTATGGATTTCCATAACTAGGTTTCTTATGTAAAACTGCTTCATCGCTGTCGCAACAAACTTCATCAAAGAAAACAGATTTTTCTGGAAAATATTAAAAAGCGCATAATTAATTAAGTACACACTCCGAAAACCTATAAAATGATACGTTCGATGCTCATAAATATTCAAATCTCCGAAAACTACGTAAGATTTTCCAAGAATTTTCCGGCATTATCTTTTCTCTAATTGACTTTTGTTATTTACAAATAAATTGACCATTATTTTGACCCCAAAACAATAATTTTCACATAATATGTAGTTCATTTAAAAAATATACGGGAAAACTATTGGAAAAATCGAAATTTTTTAAAAGAATAATTTTGTAGGAAAATAATTAGAATAATTTTTATTTGAAACTTTTTCCGAAAAAATGCATTTTCATTGAGATAATGGCAGTTTTTCTCAAAACACTGTATATTGCTGCTGATTGTGTGTGTCACATGCGTTTTCTGACCTCAAAACCTACACATTTCTATAAAAAAAGCACAGAATACAAAATTTCGCTTATTCCGGCTTTTCATGTGTGACTACATGTTCATTCTTAAATATATCTTGAGGTAATAATTACAGATATTATTTGTAAAAAATGTAAATTGAGATTGTCATCTACACATATTTCTACAGGGTACGTAACCTGTTTATACCTTGTTGTGTAGATTTATCTTGAAATATTCTGACCTCCAACAAATCAGATAAGTCATACATTGATAACACAGCCCCACAAAAAAAGTTCTGTATCAGAGATATGAGTGCAAGGCATCTCAAACTCGATAGTATGGGCCTACTGTGAGGAATCAAAAAAATTTAAATAAAATTTGGGACACGTGGTGTTAAATGGGATGAGGTAAGTTCCATTTTCAATCGAAAATATTATCTTTGGGATGTGACAGAAACGTCTAATGACGTCATCAATTATATATTTTTCAGAAACATACCCAGATTTTTTTCCTGCTAAAAAGCACTCTCTTTTCTAATAAACTTTTATTAGAGACATTGTTCTTTATTACTTCCTGTTTAAAAGTTGTAAGCAATATCGTCTTAAAGAGTATCAAAAGAAATGCCACCTAAAAATCACATAAGCGGTAGAAGGATCAAGTAGTCGTTGGAAAATAATTGAATGTTCGTTGTTTAAAGTGCATAAATGTCAAAAAATACTTGCCATTTCATTACTCAATACGAATGTCAAACGTATACTTTTTGTGCTTACAAAATGTTTTCTCATTCAGAAAACGTTGATTTGTTGCTAATTTACTGCGAGTCACAAAAAAAATTCAAGAAGAGCTGTAGAGTTATATATAGAAAGGTATTCAGAGCGCCCCATTCCTGATCATAGGACTTTTACAAGATTGCAGGCGACCTTGTGACGAAATGAAGATACATTTTCTGTTCGGAAAAATCATGTAATTGACCGAAGGGTAAGAAACAATGTTAATACAGCTGGACTGTTACAGTATTTCGAACAAAATCTACGAAATTCTATCCGACAGGCTAGTCGGGAATTGAATTTGGATAAATCAGCTGTTCAACGATAAAAGACCAATACCATAACTACAAAATTCACAATTTAGAGGTCCATTGAAAATCCCCACATTGTAAATCTAGTCCAAAACCAAGACCATTTTGGAGTAAATATATGATGCGGCATTATCGGTAGGCATTTAATTGGGCCTTATTTTTATGAACATACATTGAACAGCGCGAGTTACCTAAATTTCCTACAAGAAGAACTTCCTGCACTTCTGGAGAATGTCCCTTTGCAGCTAAGGAGAAACCTATGGTTTCAACACGACGGGGCTCCACCCCCACAAGGCAAGGATTGTGCAGCAACATTTAAATAACACTTTCTCAGAAAAATGGATTGGGCTTAATGGACCTATTCAGTGGCCCGGCAAGTCACCAGATCTAACAACCCTCGATTTTTTTTATGGGGGGTTTTAAAAAATAAGGTTTATAAAACACCTACGCGAGATATTAATCATTTGAAAGAAAAAATCACAAACGCTAGTAAAGAGTTAAACGGCGAAATGTTAATAAATGCAGCTCTCAAAGAAGTCCGGCGAGATTGGATATATGTCTAGAAATGAGAGGAGGTCATTTAGAGAATAGATTCTAATAAGTATGTACTATGAAAGCGTTTGTCTCATTTTTTAAGTTTAGTTATTGTTATCATCATCTTATAAAGAATTATCCTTTTATCTTATTGACATTTATGCACTTTATACAACGAACATTCAATTATTTTCCATGACACGTTTGTATTTTTCCCTAGATTTGTTTAGTAATTAACTTAGTCACATTTTTTTGCTAACTCTGGTGGTATTTTTTAATACAGGGTGTCCCGAAATTCATGCAACAAAATTTGATCATAGATTCTTAAGACAAATTTAGGGGACCCGTATTTTTTCTTTTTGCCAACTGGCCCCCTCTTTCAGAGTTACAGCCCCCTGAAATCTGCCCCTAAGTAGTCTTTTGTATATCTCAAAACCATGTTGTACGAGAATCACTAAATTTGGTACACAGGGGTTTTATGACATGTGGAATCTCACAGTGCTACGCTTTTTGGTGAGAAACCCCATTAAGACACTTTTTCATGGACCCCCTTGTCTTTAGAACCAGAAAAATTTGGTCGCAAATTTGATTTTTTTTTTAATTATTAGTTAGCTAGAAAACCACTGAATTTAGAAACTTTTTTGTCACTTGATATATGTTTCGTAAAACGCAATGTTTTTGTGGAAAATGGTGAATCACGATATGCATTTGATCACATTTTGACATTTTTCTCGGAAACATTGCGTTTTACGAAAAAAGTATAAAGAAACAAAAAGTTTCTAAATTTAATGGCTTTCTAGTGGACTAAAAATTTTTAAGAAATTTAAATATGTGACCAAATTTTTTTGGCTCCAAAGACAAAGGGGCCCACGAAAAATTGTCTTAAGGGGGTTTCCCGCCAAAAAAGGAGCACCATCAGAATCCACATGTCATAAAACCCCTGTGTACCAAATTTAAATTCTCGTACAACAGGGTTCTGAGATATAAAAAAAAAGATTATTCTTAGGAGCGGATTTCAGGAAGCTGTAACTCCGAAAGAGGGGGCCACTTAACAAAAATAAAAAGTACGAGTCCCCTAAATTTGTCTTAAAAATCTGTGACCAAATTTTGTTGTATGAATTTCGGGACACCCTGTATATTTTAGCACTTATAGTAGGCTTTAAAACTCTCGTAACACAACAATGAATAAACAATGATTGTCGAGGAAACGATTTCGTAAGTAATTAGATTGAAATGAAGAAATATTAGGTATGCATTAATAAAAATTCTTAGTTCAAATAAATTAATATTGTTTGCGATTTCAGTATGTGGTAAAAGCACATTCCCGGACTCCTGGAATATATTGCTGTTACTACTATGTTCAAAATATTCTATTTAATCTAGCCCTACTATAACCACTTGTTAATTGTGCAACTTGATAATAAATATTTCAAAGCATGCTCTTTAACTATTTCCTCTACAAATACTACATCGAAAACACCGCAACACATTTAAAATAATTATTGAAAAAATCCTTATTAATTTTCCTATGCATAATTAGACCTTATCTAATCCAGGCATGTACCTATGTGTTATATATTTTTTTAAATCATGAATAAATGTGATGTGGGCCATAATGTGGAACAAAATATTAATAATACGTCTTAGAAAGATGATATTGTTTTGCAAGCTTCACCCAGGTTCAAACCCTCAGATGTTTAAAACAAAAATAATAATTGTTACGCTCCAATTAAAGGAAAGATAAATTTGTTTGTAGCGTCATTCGAAGTGATCCTTATCCAAAAATTCCAATGTTTTCGTAGTAGTATAAATAGAAGATATTCATATTACTTGAAGGACTGAATCAGTGACAATGGACTTCAAATACGGTGTTTTCGTATTTCTTGCCCTCTGCGCTTTGGCCTCCAAGGCACAGGCACAGGAATGTGGTGAGTACTTCGTTGTCAATTAATACTCAAACTTTTTATTGGTGCCGTATATTAATAGATATAAATGGTTGGTGAAAAATTAGGGGACAATTACACAGTTAAAGAGGTTCCAGCACTGAATCCTAGAGTCAAAATAGTTGGGCTGACTGAGAAGCTGGATGAGGATACTATTGTCAATTACATTAGGAACCAGAATACTAATATTGTTCATGAGGATAGTATTTTCTTTGTAATATCTGTTAATCAATCAAAAAAAATAATAGAGTATATCATGCCGTGATTCAGACAGATGTAGGTACGTATCGTAACTTAATAGACAGTGCGAAAATATTTATTGGATATGATTACTGTAGCGTTTTTGATGCAATTGATTTGCGTAGATGTTACAAGTGCTGTGGTTATCATCACTTGGCGAGGCGGTGTTCATCTAAAGCTGACATATGTCCATTATGCGCTAAAAATCACAGAATCAATTGCCTTAATTTTAACAATAACAATAGAGACCCCGTCCGCGCCGACCATGCCGTGTGGGATAAAACCTGCCATGTTTACAGCTCGGCACTAAAAAGGTTTAAAGAGAATATTTTATCGGATAAATAGCAATTACCTTTTTCTGGCGTTGGTGCTTGTAAAAACGAGGCCTTATCTACTGATTTACCGACTTTCAATTTATATTATCAGAATGTCCGCGGGGTTCGGACTAATACAATTAAATTACTGATGGGTTGTTCCGTGTGTCAATTCGACATAATCGCTCTCGCAGAAACTTGGTTGAACGATAATTTTCATAATAGTGAATTAATTAACACAAATCACTATGATGTTTTTCGTTCTGATCGTGATTCTATTCATACTAACACTAGTAGAGGTGGGGGTGTCTTATTGGCTATTGCTAAGCATTTTAATGCTTGCAAGTTTGATCATAAGCTGCATTACGAAATATTTCAGGATCTCTTCTCTATTGATATTATTTCTATAAAAGTTAACATTACGAAAAATCGCTATTTGTATATATTTGTAATCTACGTACCTCCTAAAACAACAACGGATATTTACGAAAAGCTATTTTTTGCTTTTGAATCTATGTACGTGATATATGACTCCGATATTGTTGTGGTGGGCGACTTTAATTTGCCTAATTATATTAATAATACCACTCTTACTGAACAATCTCCACTTCATTTACTAAATAATTTTATAAACTTTTATGACTTCCATCAATACAACAATATTCTAAATCACAATAACAGGATTCTTGACCTCGTTCTCTCTAATCTCCGTTTTCCACTATTCTGACGTGTTGTTGCCGGAGGATCCTCATCATCCGGCTTTACTAATAGACCTCTTTGTTGCCAGTAATGTCAAGAGAATAAGAACACAACTAAGCTCAAATATTAATTTTAGGAAAGCGAACTTCCCTGCCTTGTATCACGAACTTACTTTGACTGACTGGTCCTTCATGGAAAAAATCACATCTGTCAACGATATTGTTTCTCAGTTTTATGAAACCTTAAACTCCATTCTTCTGAAATATGTTCCCAAAAAGATACCTTCAAAAAGATCCTACCCACCCTGGTTTAACAGAGACCTAATTGTTGCCATTAATGAAAAAGCGAGGGCATGGAAGAAGTACCGTTCCACTTCAAATGCTGAGGTTCATATAAATTTCCAACGTTTGCGATCAGCTGTAAAAAGCAAAAGTAAACTGGCTTACAACACATATATCGCTGATATTGAACATCAATTAAAACACAGTCCAAATAAATTCTGGACTTTTATTAACGCTAAGAAAGGTAATGCAACCATTCCAAATATTATGACATACGACAACATGTCGTTAAATGATACTAAACAAATTGCCGATTCTTTTGCTGACTACTTTGCTTCCTCATTCGTAAACAGGGACAATAGTGATCCTTTGAGAAGCACCAATTTGAATATTAATACCAATGCTCTTTCGGATGTAATTTTCACATACAACGATGTACTTAATTCCATAAAAAAACTAAAACCTAAAATGACCATGGGTCCCGATCTCATACCTGCCTTTCTTATCAAAGATTGTGCTACTGTGTTTGCCAAGCCTCTTCTTATAATATTCAACCGAATACTGTCCACTCATACATTTGCCGATCGTTGGAAAACTTCGAAAATCTGTCCCATATATAAAAAAGATAACAGGAATGACATAAAAAATTATAGACCAATTGCAATACTATGTAATTTCGGCAAAATTTTTGAAATAGCCCTACATAATATTTTGTCATTTCACCTTAGAAATATTATCCTACCAGAGCAGCATGGTTTTGTTGAAGGGCGTTCCACGGTTACCAATTTGGCGTGTATGGCGCAGTATATCCATGAGGTCAAACTTTTCCTAACTTTTAATTATTATTGTTCTATATTTATATAAAAGATGGACGTTAATTACTTTTAAGTATACTTACAGTACGTACAGTGAACACTGTTTTTTTTTACCTACTTTGTGGTAATAATAGTTCTTTTCATAAAGATAGAATAGCCATAAAATTGTCGTAAGAAAGTTATAGGGTGTTAAAGTTTCTTTTTTTATTTCTTGTTTTCTACTTAACTACTCAGAACCCAGTTAACCCATTTGAGCAAAATTTGATGTTGCTTAGTTTCTCTTCGTAACGTATGCAGTGATTATGTTCCTAATAGGTTTTTTGGAAAAAAACATGTATCACAATAAACATAATAAATAACATAATTAATAACATAATAAACTGAAAGGTAGCAGTAGTAAAATGTCTACTAACTTGTGATAAATGTTCTATGTGTCTCCCATTCTTTTCGACACGTTTCCTTAAACGTTTTATGAAACTATTGAGAATAGGAAACGAATTATACGTTCGTCTAACTTGTCGTACGGTGTCTATTATTCTATCCCAAAGTTCTTGTCCCGTATTAGGTGTTACAGAGTTGTAAACAATTCCTTTCAAACTACTCCAAAAGTAAAAGTCTAACGGATTAAAATCCTGACAACGAGAAGGCCAAGGAAAGTCACTACATCGACCAATCTAACGGTTTGGAAATGCTTGATTTAATTGATCTCTCACCAAATGGATGTAATGAGCAGAGGCACCATCGTGCATGAATCACATTTGTCGTCTAGTATTAATGGGTATTTCTTCGAGAGCCTCAAGAAGTTCTTGCAGAAGGAATTCCTAATAATTTTGGCCGTTCAACCTTGCGGTAATGTAAAAGGTATTTACACAAATACGGTATTAATCCTTATCATTTTAAATAAGTCAGAGGCTTTAAGCATTTCATGCACATTATTTTACTCTTTTACACCATATAATTTGAATATCTTAGGAGTAATCGCAAAAAAATTACGGACGCGCTTCGCTTGATGCGATCGTCGACCCTCCCCCCACACCGTCTTGCCTACTGTTTAGCTAATAAGCCGAACGATAACGCGCGCGTGATCCTTTAATAAACTGAGGTGACGACTGACGACTGTGTTTTCTTTCTTGGTGTTGTTGGAAAGTTATAATTGCGTTCGATATTTTAAGGTCACATTTTTGTTTTGTATTTGTTGTCTTTAGGTAGTCGGAACATACATAGATACTTGCAAATACTTTTATTTCATTGAGTTTTAATAATTTGTTTGTTTTTTTCTTATTGTGAATCATTTAAAACTTCATAGTCTCATTTTTGTTTCGTGTTTGTTTTCTTTAGGTAGTTAGATACCTAACTACTTTCTTATTAATTAAAATTGATAGTCCTGAACATACGTACTTTAATTTAATTCGTTTTGTTTTCACATTGTTGGTAGTTACCTATATTGTTTTAAATTTAAAGGTTTTGCATTTTTAGTTTTGAGTTCGTTTGTTGTCTTTAGGTATATAGATATATAGTGAATTATTTTAAAATTAAAATTAGGGTCGCATTAGATGAAAGATGATTGATTTTTTGTTTGTTACGATTTAACTCAAAAACTACTCAACCAATTTTATCGAAAGCTACATCTCCTCGGAGTAACATAGGCTTTTTTATATTTGCCCGTGCGAAGCCGGGGCGGGTTGCTAGTTATTGATAAATTAGACGAATGTCAACTTTGTCACCCACATATTGTCTTCAGACGAATCTACATTTTGTTTAAACGGGTATATTAACGGACACAACTGTAAGTATTGGTCAGACCAAAGTCCACATTGGATGGAGGAACTTCACATCCAACGACCACAGAAAGTTAATGTTTGAGCATTATTGGTAGATACGTCATAGGACCCTATATACGGTATGTCCGCGGTTAGGGTGAATAAGAGGAAAAATTTTTTCATTTTACATTTTACGGAAAAAGTTACACTTGATAAAAAGTTTTGCTTGAATTTAAAATGAGGTTTCCATGGTGAAACTTAACATTTCATGTACGGGGTGTCCAGAAAATAAAAAAATCTGAAAATGTCACGAGAGTAAAATACCTTTATTTTTAATATTTCTGAAAAGTGTCACTAGGAAAAGTTGTACCAAATTAAAAGATACGACATAATTCCAATTTGTGGAAAAATTGGCCTACTTTGATTATTTACAAATATTTATGTCCGCAGTTAGGGCGAATAAGAGGAAAAACTTTTTTATTTCAAATAAAAGGTTGTGAATAAAATGACATTTTATTCTTCACTTGTATCACTGCACTTCGTTAAAAACCCCCAGCAGTAATTAATTATCGGATAAATGCTAATTTTACAGCAAAAAATATATCTAATACAGTGCTACGGTAAATCTAAAAAATTGGTGTGCGGTGTCCTTTTATGGAATAATAGGACCATACTTCTTTGAAGATACATGCAATGGAAACAGCTACCTGAATATGCTCCAAACGTTTTTTACTAATGAATTGGACAATCTACCACTGGCCTACCGAAATTGTTTTTATTTTCAGCATGACGGTTGTCCGGCGCATTCTGCTGTAACTGTTAGGACCTGGTTACAGAACACATTTTCCACACTAACAATCATGGACTTTTACTCGTGGGGCAGACTAAAACAGATTGCGTATAGCAGGCCTTTGGACAATAACATCGACCAGCTAAAACAACGAATTAGAGATACTGTAAACTGTAAAGTCCATATCTTTAGAAGAGATTAGACGCTTCTGCAAAATATCACTATTTCAAAAATATAAAAAATAAAGGTATGTAGTTTACTCTAGTATCATTTTCATATTTTTTTATTTTCAGACACCCCATACATGAAATGTTAAGCTTCACCATGGCAACTTCATTTTAAATTCAAGCAAAACTTTTTATGTTTGTCTTTTTTCCGTAAAATGTAAAATAAAAAAGTTTTTCCTCTTGTTCACCCTAACTGCGAAAATCTGTACATATAAACGGAAATTTGACCTAAACGGTATTTATTACTTTTGCAATGACATATTATTCCAGTGCTTAGACGATTATTCTCGAACAATGGAGCTCCTTCACATATTGGACGTGTGGTACGGGCAATCGAGACGAAACTTTTCTTGATAAATGGATTGGACTCAAAGGGGCAATTGAATGGCCAGCTGGGTCTCCCGATATGACCCCACTCGACTTATGTGACTGTGGGGTGACATAAAAAATGTAGTCTACAAAAATAGGCCGCTAAATATCGAAGAGTTGCAGGAATAGATAAGGCACGAAATATCCATTATTCCCCCCAACACCCTTTTAGGTTCACTACAAAATTTTGTTCAGCGAATTCATTACTGTCGGGAGGTAAAATGGTGAACACTTTGAGCACCTTATATAATAGAATTCCAAAGAAAATATTTCTTGTTCTTATTAAAACTTGTCTTCTCTCTTTTTTATTCTAGCATAACTATTGTTTTCCTAAAATTTAAAATATCCAGGACATTAATTAAAAAATAATTTTTTTTGTTTCATGGATCTTTATCAACCCTGAACTATTATGCTTTTTTATTTTCTGTAAAAAGACTAATAATAAAATTAAATCATATCCATATCCTCCACCTTGTGTTATTTTCAACATAAATATCGATAATTTGGTGACCTTTTTCTTTTATAAATTTGAAAGTAGTAAAAAGTTAATTTCAAAGTTGGATATCTCGAAAATTGTTAATTTAGGTACATGATCTGCTATATGAATTTTATTTATAATTTCGAGAAGAATTGAAATATTAAATAATAGACAGGGTGTCCATTAAAGAAAAAGCAACTTTGTTTCTTCATGACATTTTGACTGATCCTGAATACTAAATTTTTCTTGTAATATATTTAAAAAACCCTAAAACTTTTGCACCTTATGATTTTTCGATAGCTATCTTACTTTAATTTGACAATTCTTTTTGTTTGTTTATTTTGTAGTTATGACAATAACTCAACGACTACTAAATAAATGCTCAAATCCGAATACAATAATTCTGGTGCTACTTACTTCATAATGACAAAATATGTGTTTTTAAGTTAATGAGACCTTGGAAAAAATAGTATATACCATTCGGGAGAGATGCTATTTTGTCCTCGGTGCATTGTAGCCCTCGGGCTTTGCCTCGGGCTTCAAATTGCACCTCTGGCAAAATAACGCATTTCTCTCCCTTATAGTATAATGTACTATTATAGAACTAATTCCTGCAAAATTTTAAAGAATATTGAAGATGGATGAATATTATTGATGCATGTAAAACTTCGATTATGGTTGTTAAGTTACCTTCTCCTTTAATTAACTTAATTACTTTTCAGTGCCCCACAGCGTAGTAAATATGACCTTGACTGCCCACCACGTTCTTACCTGGGACGTCAGCGAAGATGAATTATGCGATATCACTCAGTTCGTGGTGGAGATCTACCAGCAGGACATTCCCGAGGAGTACAGCTTCGAGATATATGAACCCTGGATGAATGTCTCCTTCTTGCAAGTATGCCAGGAGTGGACTTTTGTAGTGATACCGGTATCGGAGCAGACCAGAGGACAAGAACATCGTCTATTTGGTAGCTTGCCGCTTCCCGCAGGTAAGGTAGTGATGTGTTACCCTTGTACCCAATATCATCTACCGAGCGATCTTGTTTTTATTTATGCGAACTTCAAAGTAAAAGCAACAATTTTTAAATGAATTTAAGTTTACTTTTCTCATTTAGAGATGCGAATAAAAAATTTATTTAAAGTTTCTTAAACATCAAAAGAACATGTTACCTATAAGAAAATTTAAAATAATCATTGCTTTATTGGTTTAAAGTTAAAAAAGTGAATATGCACTTTAATTTTGACCAAAATTCTGTCCGTACCAGTAATAATTAATTTGCTATAATTTCTAACAACTATTTAAATATTGAAATGAAGAATACAAATATTTAATATGTTTAATCAAAATTTATTTATAATGAATGTTCAAAATGTCTTCCTTCATTCTGTAAACATAGATTTACTCGTCTTCTTAAACTGTTAAATACATTATGTAATTCATTTTCTGCAATATTAGCTAATTTATTTGTTAAAGTATCCTTTAGTTCAGCCACTGTGTGTAAACTGTTTACATATACGGAATTATTTAATGTTCCAAGGAGATAATAATCTAAGGGAGTTAAGTCCGGAGATCTTGGAGGCTAAACGCCTCGACTAATAAAGCGATCGTCATAAAATTCTCTTAGGAACTCCATGAAAATGTTTGAAGTCGTTATTTCTCAGAAACAGTTCATTTTATTGTATCGCAACAACAGATACTTTTTTAACTAATTTTTGATACTCTTCAACATAGTGGTGTTCAAATTTATAGAAGCGGTGAAAACAAAAAAGTTGTGGGACATACATCGAAGATTAAGGTCAGGTTAGGCCGTTTGGCACTGGAGTATTTGGAACATAAATCTACGAGAGCACTAGTAATACATAGGAAAGACTTGGAAAGAATCAAATCACAAATAAAAAAGTTATCTAAGAAAAACTAAAAAAAATTTTTTTTGACACCCTGTATTTCGGTTAATATTGAGTTTTCGAAAAATTGTTATAGGATTTTGTGACCCTAATTTTTGTGAGGAATCACCTCTTGAAGTCTTTACGCATACTTTCCGGACACCCTGTATAACTCATCCGACATGTAATAGAGCAGTAGAAGTACTATAACGCGTTCGAAATCCTGACTGCGTTGATGGTAGAACGTCAAATTTGTCCAAAAAGTGAGTCAGCTGTTCATGAACAATCTTTTCCAAAATTTTTGAAAAGATACAGAGTATACTAATGGGACGAAAATGTGTTAAAACAGAGGGTTCTGAATTCTTAGGTATAGGTATGACTATAGCATCCTTCCAACAAGATGGAAAAGTACAGAAGTTCAAACATTCATTTATAATAAAAGTAAAGTAAAGTAAGTAAAGATCTTTGTACTCTTGCCAATAATTAACATCAAATTTAAGCTTTTTATATTTTAAATATGCACTATCCCTTAACCCTTAATCATTAATTAATATGCTGAGTAAAAAGGTTATAATCTGCGAAAAATATGAATGGATCGAATAATTTCATCCATTTTCATCTTGTTCACCAATCAAAAAGTAAGACTCACAATAAATTTATCGTTTTATAACGAAAACCCCATTTTATAACCTAAAATAGTTCGAGTACTTTACAACGAAGTCATCAGTATTTGCTTTGTCTTTCCGAAGTTAACATGTATAAAAACACCTAGCAATAAAATTTAATGAGTTTCAGGAGCGTCCCTAAAAAAAGTTTTCTGCCAAAGTAAAAAAAATTATAATAATTTGTAAATAATGTGTAGATAATTTACATTATATGCTCATTTGATCAACAACATATTTTAATTATTTATGTTCTCAAACAATTTTATTATGTTTTGTTCCGTTTCAATAGGTCTCCAAAATGCCATGTAATAATATTAGTAAACAAAATATCCCTCTCATTTCTCCTTTTCGCAATTGTAATATGAATGATCAATAGAAGGTGCTTGTAATAAATTAAAATTACCTAAATCACACCAAATTCCGCATTGCTGCACTGCACTGCTAGGCCATTTGTTGACAACTGAATTTATGGTCTGGTCGCCCAGTGGGGTTGTGTTTGTGCCGCGTTTGTCCGGGCGTTCATTCTTCAACTGGGCGACCAAATCAACCTTTATATGAGTATGGCTAAATAATGCCGAGTTGCTGCGTCAGCGACCGAACCTGGTACATACTGCCAACTTCTTGGTTCTTCAATTGAGATCAGAAAAACTATACCACAAAACTAACAGTTAACAGATGATTAACGTTGAAAAACACTGATTTATTATTTAGAAGATTAACGATAAATTCAAAGAAAAGCACAATCGGCGAACAAAAATAAACACAACAGCAAGTACGCACGGAAAGCACGGACGTTTCTGAATTGACAGATCGTGTCAGTCGGAAATCTAAGAAAACGGAAAGCAATTTTGATCAAATGGAAGTAAATTTTAATATCTTTGGTAACATTTACGTGTCACGTCAGCTTCAATCATTCTGGACCGCTCGGTATTATTCACCAATGTAAACAGTGGTCCTCTCTTAATATAGAAGTTTTGCTACCAATCTGACGGTTTCAAGTAACGTTATTAATGATTGAAACGTCAAGTACCAAAACAAATACAATCAGAAAATTCCAGTTAAACGATATAGACCAGTGCTTAAGCCTTCAAAAATGGTAAAAAGTGAAAAAAAATTATAGTAAGATGAAACCCATTGGAAAAGGAAGAGAATATAACAGAAATGAATGGAAAAATAATTTATGGGCGATCTGAGGTCGGGAAGGGGAAGGGGGTGAGTTTTAAAAGGTAAAAAACGGTTTCCCTTGATTTCCGGAAAAACTACAAGTCTTATGGAAAAAAATGGCAAAGTTGTAGGTAATAAAAACATCTACAACTTTTGTATTTACACTTTTCTCACATAACCTCAATATTTATGTGAAAAATTCAAATAACCAAGTTTTTGGTCTTTTATTTTTCTTTTACAAAAAAATTTTTTTTCACGAAATTTGGTGAAAACTTACCTATTTATGTCCCAAACACGCTGTAATTTTTTTGATTTGAAATATTTATTTTTTCACCTTATTTTTACTTAATATCGAAAAAGCACCTTAATTTTCAATCGAAAAATTCTCACGTCAAAATATCTGCTTTTTTAAAAACGTCGGTGGGTTTTTTCTTCGTTGAAATCTCTACTTTCTGATGGTGTAAAAAAATATATACATTACTATGGTAAGTTTTCTCAGGAAATGCAGAGAAACTAAAAAAACTAGAATCCGAAATTTCTTTTCTAATCATTATGTACAATTTTGAGCTATTTATTAAAATTTTCACTTTAATTACTCGAAAAACGTAAGATTCCATGTTACATTGATAAACAAAAAAATTACAAATCCATAAAACATAAAGATTGCAAAAAACATGCGAAAATTGTTCTAAATATTAAAGATAGGATTTAAAGGGGATTTTATCTAAAAAATGTGACTGCTGCTATTTTTTTCAGTTATAAAAGTTGATTTATTAAATTCTAATTACATTTATGTCGTAGAAAATCTCATAATATATAAATATACATGTACATCGTACTATTGAATTTAGATACTTTATAATGATTACGTTATTCATTATAATATTTTTAAAAACATTAATCTTGTTATTTATCAATATCTTATCTTGAATTCTAATCACTTATCCATTAGTTTTTGTCTCTTTGATGCCATTTCTTCATCGTGAGATTCGACAAACCTTCCCGATTCTAGTAGATCTTCGAAATCTTCAAGACAATCACCGTCTTCGTCTCCAATATTATTACCAGTCTGCATTGGTTCTTCATCCACAATTTCATCTGAATCATTTCCGTAGGTCACTCAGGTATATAAGTTATCTTAAAATAGCAATAAATAGGCATATACGTATATAATTTAAAGAAGATTCTACAACTTTCTCAAAATATTGTAGATGTCTTATTAAATATTAACTTTATTAACTTATTTGGTTGTTAATTTTAATAGTATATTTCGACTTGTAATTTTTGTGTTTGTCAATGTAACATGGAATCTTACGTTTTTCGAGTAATTAAACTGTAAATTTTAATAAAAGCTCAAAATTGTACATAATGATTAGAAACAAAATTTCGGAATCTAGTTTTTTTCGTTTCTTTGCATTTCCTGAGAAAACTTACCATAGTAATGTATATTTTTCTTTACACCATCAGAAAGTACAGATATCAACGAAGAAAAAGCCTACCGACGTTTTTAAAAAAGCAGATATTTTGACGTGAGAATTTTCGATTGAAAATTAGGGTGCTTTTTCGATATTAAGTAAAAATAAGGTGAAAAAATAAATATTTCAAATCAAAAAAATTACAGCGTGTTTGGGACATAAATAGGTAAGTTTTCACCAAATTTCGTGAAAAAAAACCATTTTTTTTGTAAAAGATAAAAATAAAAAACCAAAAACTTGGTTATTTGAATTTTTCACATAAATTTTGAGGTTATGTGAGAAAAGTATAAATACAAAAGTTCTAGATCTTTTTATTACCTACAACTTTGCCATTTAACTTTTTTCCATAAGACTTTTTTCCGGAAATCAAGGGAAACCGTTTTTTACCCTTAAAAACTCACCCCCTTCCCCTTCCCGACCTCAGATCGCCCGTAAATTATTTTTCCTTTCATTTCTGTTATATTCTCTTTCTTTTCCAATGGGTTTCATCCTACTATAATTTTTTTTGGTTTCAAAAATTATCGACTCTGGTCTAATATGGCTAAACCTAACTTATTTCTGCCTGTTTTGAACGTTCTTTTACTTTTTTCCTTCTTCCAGATGCGGATCTTGACATCGACTACATCAGCATCGAACAGGACGAGGAATCTGGTGACGTTCATCTCTATTGGGACCTAACTGATCATCGCTACGGGAGCTGTTCTCTTAGATACAGATTGACTATACAAGAAGAAGGAAGTGAAGAAATCCATGACATTTACATGAGCGGGAGGTCCGCCAACTTGCATTTTTTGTCGCCTTGCACCGACTACCAGTTCGGTATCAGGGCCATCAACATAGCCGAACCCACCATAGAAGGACCTTTAAAGACGGAATTCGGTAGTATTCCTCCAGCTGGTAAGTTGGTAACTGTCGCAACTTATTCCCGTCTCCAATTAATGAATCTTTGTAGCACAAATCTCTCCTCACTTGGACGACATCGAGTTGGGCGTCCGTTCATTTGTTATGAGGTGGGAAATACAAAGCGTGGTATGGAATAAATGTGAAGTAACCGAGCTCTTGATCGATGGAGGAGACTTCTTCAAAAAGACCGTACACATAGTGGATGATGGCAGAAGGGCACCTATAGAAGTTGAAATCAATGATTTGCTGCCCGACAGCTTGTACTACTTGCGCGCCTACGTTCTGAACAGTGCAGGTTGGTCTGTGCCAACAGTGGTTGCCATCCACACCTTGCCCTTATCGCCGAATGACAAGGTGTGATGCGAAGATGAGTTTTGAAGCCATTCGTCTATACCTGTATTGTTAAACCAGATTTTACCGTATAGTATAAATATTTTATTTGTTCTGAAATTAAATAGTTATCAATGCACATACAATGCGTTACAATAAAAGGCAAGTGGGTGAATTATTATCCATAACAAAATAATATCTTATAAATATCGTTCTTAGTCCAAGCGGTATCTGTTTCGGGTTGGGTAAAATGCATATGAACGGAGATTTTTGCTTTAACGGCTTCTAAATGACATCAGAAACGATACTTTTTCTATGCAAATAAAAAACGTGGGCTTAATTGTTATTATAAAAAAGTATAAAAAAATAGCAAAAAAATTCATTTTTTTCTTGGATTTCTCGTCGACAACTTAGCAACTATTCGTTTTAGGCAAAAATGGAAGAGGAAAAATAGTTTTGTCATTAAATTCTGAACAAGATGGAGTTAGTTGCAATTCGAAAAACTAATTATTGTTATTGCAAAAATCGGAAAAATCATTTAAAAGATTGCAAAAAATGCTAGTTTATTTGTCAATTTTTTTCAGATACTTGAATAATACCTAGGATCTTCATACTTTTCCCAATTAAACTTCTAGTGTATAAAATCATCACATAAAATTTCATCCAATTCGGTTCATTAGTTTTTATATAATAATTGTTTAATTTTTAATTAAAAAATTCTCAAAATCAAATTTCTAAAAATCTAAAGCCGTTGAATACTTGAAAATTTCACCACAAAAAGAAGAGAGCTCTCAAGCTTTAAAATGCTTTTTGAAAAATTCAAATCGGACGATTAGGTGAGCTATGGTGATTGTTTAAACATTTTCGCAATTTAAAAAGCGCTAAAAGAACATTCACTCATTCGTTCATAACATTTTGTTAAGTTTGGATCCACTGCACTTTGGTTTTGAGATCAACTGTAAGACGACTGGGGGTTTCCTGTGGTGCGCCATTGTACAATTCATATTGGGAATAGTACTTGCCCCCAGTATATTGCAATGTCAAGGTGCGTGGACCTAGGTATAACAACATTAAAAGACGTTTAAAGCAATTTTACAAAATGAAAGCCACCCTCTGTTGATCCTTCTAACCAGTTTCGACTAAAAACAGTTTAATTGAGGTGTACCAATTGCCTTTAAGACAAATAATTTCAAACATTTAATAACTGAATAATCTAAAGCTTATCAAATAATAGGAATGCCACCTGAGTATTTTCAAAGACGCCGCAGTAAAACGAATAAACAGGTGCAAAAAACGATCAAACCATCAAGGTTTTAGGTACTGAAATCTACGAAAATACTAACTTTTTTATATATAACTCCACATGTAAATATTCTTATAACATTTACTTGCTTAGTCTTACATATAAAATTGTTTACTTTTATTTATAAGTACGTGAAAATAATTCTTAAAATGTGGGGTTAAGATAACAGCAAATGCATGTTTTACAAACGCTTTTTTTAGTTATTATTTTATTTGAGTAAATTTAAATAGTAACAATCAATAAATAGAACACCAAGGATTTTATTTTCGTGCTTACTTTTGTTCTACACGTTTTACTTTTCAAGATTTCAGTACCTAAAAATGCCAGAAATTTGACTATTTCTCGGCCAGGGATATGGCCACCTTAAGGACGGGATTTTGTACAAAAAATATCGCCCAGCGTGAGTCACGAAACGGGACCCCGGCAGGTGCTGCTCTAGCGGCCAACGCTTCAAGGTGTGTTTTTTAACCGAACGACGAAGTCTAATAACTTACGCTGGACGTAAACGGCTCGATTTTTCAAGAGCGGCTACAATTTGTGTACATACAATCTTATAAGGAAAGAGAGTAAAGATTTTATTAATCATTAATAGATTATCGAGGACAATAATATTTTTTTATTAAGTAGGCAATAAATTTTAGTTAATAAGGTTAAACAACCTTATAATTACCATTCCTTTATTATTAAAGCAGATATAATTTTTAAAATTACATGTAGTTTCTTCTTCAAAAGCTTAAAAAACGTATAACAGGAACAGTCAACAGTCTAATGTTTATATTTTCACGTTAACAATCCGATACGTAAATTAACTACTATTTTCAGTAAAAATGATATAACTTGAATTATTTTTTTTTTACTTTGGTGAGTCGTATTAATTTAAAAACACTGCCTAATTACTAAAATATATAGCTACTTATATATACTTATACTAACTTGCTACTAATTCCGTTTGGAGAATAATATGTATAGTAGGGTGGCACAAAAAAACGATTTTTTTTGTGTCTTGAAAATATGTTAGTTTATCATGTTTTAAGAGCTCTCTCAAAAAATCAGCTTTAAAATTTTTTTAGAGGTCCCAAAATTTTTAAAAATTTCCAAAATCGTCAAAATTTGAATTTATTTTTTGTTGTTCAAATTCAATAAAAAAATAAATTATTAGTTCGTTGATATTTATTTTTTTGAGATCGCTCGAAAACATAGAAACACTGCTTTGAAAATTAAAACAATTATGAGTGACCTTTAGAAATTAAAATATCGATTTGAAACTTTCAGAATCGAGATTATTTTCAACCTAGAAAATGATAAAAAACGGGAAAAAAATTAAACACAAAAAAATTAAATTTGACGATTTTGGAAATTTTTAAAAATCTTGAGCGACCTCTAAATAATTTTTTCTTTGACCTGACTTTTTGAGGGGGCTCTTAAAACATGATAAACTAATATATTTTCACAGGAGACACGAAAAAAAAAATCGTTTTTTTTTTGGTCCACCCTAAATTGTATAGGCATAACATATTATATTATATATTGTATCTATCAGGCAAATATTATTAAAATTTTAAGTTATTATTAACAAGATGTGTAATGGAATTCCCCTAGCAGGTAAGACCGTCAAGAAATTGTTCTTATCTAATTCCAATATAATGATTTCCACTGCAAAAAATGACTGAGCAAGATGCCGTTGGACTGGAATATAATTACTGGTAAATAATATAGGTACATATAATTTCATAAGGGTGCATTTCTAGAAGCAGTAAAGACAGAGACGGAGAGTGTAGGTACCCTTTCTTTCGGTCCTTTACGATTTGAGGTAGTTGCACATAATCACGTCACAGATGTTTCACATTTGTGCTTTAGTATTGTTGGAATACGCAGTATCTTTTCTTGTGTGGTTTTAGCCCGGATTTTACGAATTTTTACTGAACTTGTTATAGTGTAGCTGGTGAATTAGTTCGTGCCATAGAGACAATATATTTTGTTAGAGAGGTGTTATTTTTAGGACAGGTAAGTAGATTTTTTTCTATTGATGTTTACATAATGAAAGCAAAAGTGGTGCTACAAGCTTCCAACATGTAACAATTTGATTCCATTTCGCGGCGGGGTGAAAAATAATTGGATTGATGGATCGTTATATACCTTGAAATCAGTAAAATCCAAATGGCTGGTTATCAAATTTCTAAGTTAGCTATAAATTTCAAACCAACTGCCGGTCATCCGGTAAATTTTCAAAAACGTTCTTATTCTGTATACACAAAGTATTGCTCATGATTATGCGATCCTGAAAATTTCAACTCAATCCGTTGAGCGGTTTTCAAAATATATAAATATGATTTTTAAAATTCGAATATTTGTCTCGGCCGTAGCAATGCAATGACGTCACCGCATGGGGCGGTGAGCCGGCGTAGCAGTGTGGGCGTAGGCTACTTCCAGATGAGTTTCTGCATCTGCAGAATATTTTAGCGGTTGTGCACGACATAATTAAGGAGACATTATTATTATTTTCTTAGGTGCCTTCACACTAGTGCTGTCATACTAGGGAACAATACAATATTTGTCATTATTTTCTGTTCTGTCTTCCACATTGCTAACAAAATTCGGTATCTTAACGTACCTACTGAATCTAAACTTAACAGGCAACCAAAACCTGACTACCCGACTGACTGACATTGACAATACGTAAGCGTGCGGCATCGTTTTCCCATGCGGTGACGTCACACCTGCCGCCGCCGGTTCAGCGGATACTCAGTGCGCCAGTTTATGATTTTTTTGGATGACTTGTAGGCGACATAAAATTCTTGTTTTTTGCAGAGAACCTTAAAATTGTAATATCTTTCCGTTAAGCAAATAAAAAAATTTCTGAATGGGCCCATTGTATTTGTTAAAAAATAGACACCTACATTGTAAAACTTAAAAATATTTTTTGTTTTGTTTTTACTTAAATAGTTACCTATTAAAATTATTCTTTCATCAACGATTTTCGAAAAGTCAACCTTTTTCGCGATAATGGTTGATGAATAAATATTATATAGGGTGTGCCATTTAAGAGGCTCACTTGGGTATTCGCCTGTTATAAGATATAAATATTGTTAAATTAGAAAAAGTTGTGTAATTAGAAGGCCAAAAATATGGTACAAAGAAGTGAATATCTGAATCCTTTTTTGAAATATTTAAAAAAAATTGCCCCCTTTGACTCTGCAAACGTACGCCACCGTACATCGATCTAAAGTAATTCAAAAGATGACAAATTTAAAATACTTTTTGCCCCCTTCGAGCATTTTTGCAGGAAAACAATATTTTGCGAGATATTTCAGGTGTTTCAAACTTTTTCCACAGTAGTGTATAATAATAATATGTAATTTTAAATGATAAACAATTGTCATTCTTTGCACCATAAAGCATAATATTGTGTTTAAAGTATGCAACGAGAATATTTTTATTTTTGATTTGTCAAGAAATATGTTTTACATAAAACTTGGTGAATAAAATGTAAATGACATATTTGTATTGTTATATCGCGGTGTTTAGTTGTACCGTTGATCCTAAAAAGAACTCAAGTGCAATATTATTTTGAAAATAAGTGCATAAAAATTTAAAGATCGGTGTTTACTTGTACCGTTGATCCTAAAAAGAATTCAAGTGCAATATTATTTTGAAAATATGTGCATAAAAATTAAAAGATCCTATAATTTGAATTATTAACTTGAACTCCATATTTGATTGTTGAATAATGAACATTTGATTATTATACATATAGTTTGTAACGTGGGAAATCCCACTACTTCTTTCCATTTTTTCGTATCATATATTAAATCATTTTATTATTAGCACTGTTAAAAAAACATTTTAAGCAATACTTCTATACACTATTATTATTACAT